TGAAGGGCTATCGATACAGCTTTAGGCAGAACACAATGGAAGCATCTCAGTATTTTACAAACCACATAATAAAACCCCATCCTCCAAATTGTGACACCTAATAACATTTCTGGACATTTCCCAAAATCCCAGAGGGCCAAAGCCACCCTCTTTGAGAGTCTCTGGGCCCCATAAGCCAGTGTGAATACTCAGAAGCATGACTCAAGTTCTGGGCAACATCGATGGAATGGCATCCCCTAACACCTTTTTGGTGGTGTAGGCCACAGTACCTTTTGGTGCTTACTCAAAGGTTACACTTCTTTCATAGTTCATCCATTAGTGTTTTCTTGGGAGAAAGATAGACAACCTCTTTCTGCGGGATTTACAACCTCAGAAACCTAATGAAAGTCAGCTCTGACTCCAGCTCCATGGCAGTAAATTCAATCTCTCAGATTATCTAGCTCAAGTTTCTGTGTTGTTTTTTTATTAGTATTTACGACGCAGGGCTATGCCATTAATGACCCTACAGTATCTGCCACTGTGTGGATACAGAGTTGAATATATAACTAAACAAAAACAATTAACACATTATACAGTTTAGGAATAAATAAACCAAATCAACTAGTGTAGAAGGTAGCTCTCTTGCTTTTATTCTCTTTCAATCCCGCTTAGCTACAAGCCAGTTCTACTCGGAGATTCTGAAGAACAAATATCAGAAGAGCAAAGGTTCTCAACCTTTACTTCTCCCTTTTGGAATTCAAGAGTATGAAGAACTCTCAGCAAGAAGAGTGACTCTCTACAGCAGTGATTCCCAAATTGGGGACAGAGGGTAAGAATCAGGCCAGAGAGCACGGGGCCATTTAAACAATAACACAATAGGATTCTGACATGCTGCCATCAGGCCCATGAAGGGTGATTACTGCAGAATAAGTGGAAATTCTACACCTTTGCGCAAAAGTGCACAAGTGGACTCTCATCTTCTCCGACACCACAATCAGAGAAAGAGAAATGTCCTTGTTGCACTTTTCCTGTAGGTAGCAGCTCTAGTCTGTCTTCTGGACAAGGAAAGGCTCGCACGAATGAAAGATGTGAATGAACATAGTCAAGGTGTTGGGTAGGCTCTGAGTTAACTGCATTTTAATCCAATGCATATGTATTAAGTATCTATTATTTACCAAGCCTCCACAGATGAAAAGTATAATGAATAGATCAACACAGATGAAAACAAGTAGCAGGCATTGATGTGGCTAATGGAGAACATCAGGGAAGATTTCTCGGAGAAGGTAGAGTCTGCAGTGAGTCTTAAAGACTAAGAGCCTGGTGAAAGCTTCGAGAATATGAGCTGTGCTGTCGAATTCCAGTGGGGCAGGACCATTCAGGCAATCATGAGTACAATGCTGGACAAGGAAGGCATTTTCAGCAAGCATCAAGTTTAAGACAGGGAAATAGAAAGAGATGAGACTGAAGTAGCTCAAGAGGCAGAGATGAGGTCTGGAGTTAGAGAACCTTTGAGGAAATAAGCAGCGAGACATGGTGAGACTTTCCTGTTCAGTGCAGACATGCTGGAAGATTGCACTGAGGGATCTGATATGCATGGAATCACACTGAAGAAAACTGGTTTTGCCTTGCCAGCATTTAAAAAGTTAGTGATGCTATGCCTTCTCCTTCCAGGTCTTGCTGGAAGCCAGCAGCATACCCCCACTGCACAGAAGCTGACTCCACAGCATAAAGTCCCTTCCTGGCATCACCCATCTGACCAAGCCTCCTCAGGGATCTGACAACCACAAGCCCAGCTTTTAAAGGCAGCCAACACACACCCTGCTGGAAAGATCTTCCTGCTGCCTAAGCTGCTTTCAGGCGGACCTCAGAGCCCTGTCCCACGTAACACCACCTCCCATGGGTGAAATCAATCGAGAAAAATACGCCTGCTCCTTTTCAAGAGGGATTTGTCCTGGTTAGAAGGAAGATGATGAGCAAGTAAGCACAGAGGAAACAACCTCAGACAGGGACTCCCTTCATTTCACATCAGGAGGTTGGAGGAGCCAGCCCACTGCTCGGCTGTATCCAGAGCCTAACTCAGGCCTCAGGCCGGTAATGTCTGCCTGGCATGACACAGTTCCTCGGCTTATGTTAATATTTGAAGCCCAGAGCAAGGTATCAGAGAAACGGTCCAAGTTCTTAACTCCTTTCGCAAGACATTTTCATCCCTCTTTCCCCACCACTGACAGCTTCACCACCACCAGACCCTCACAGTGGGAACTCTCTCACCCTCTCTGCCAGAGGGAGGGGCAGCGCCAATGTGAAGACTATACCCTTTTCCCAATAAATAACGCTCAGAATGTCCCCTAACAACCTTTCTTCACTTGGCTTAAGACTCCAGCTCTCCTGACCTCTTCCCTCTTAGTGGTCCTCCTGCCCAAGCTCCCTGACTGGATCTTCTCTCCACCTCCGCTCTGGCCATGGAGGACAGAGCTCTTGGCCTCTGAGCTGCACTTTCATCCTTTCTCACTACCCTTGGCTTCAACTCCAGAATTCAGGAGATTGCACAGAGCAGCTGGTGGTCTCAAACCATGTGTCTTCAGGGTTTCAGCAGTTTCTTGCCACCAGGGCACCAGAGTTCCTGGCTACATTGAAAGGGCTTAATAGTCACACAGGACTAGACTATGGTTTTGAACAACGCAGCTATCAAACTTCTCCATTCTTGTAGACAGTTCTAATAGATAGTTATGCTTATTACTTTCACCACTACCAGCCTGGTCCAAGCCATTGCTACCGTCTGCTCAAATGATTGTAATACCCTTTCAGCTGTTATGACTTGTTCAGCTTTCAAAACACAGCACCATGAACAATCTTTTCCAAAGATGTTAGATCACATCACTCCTCTGCTTAGAGCTGTCTAGAGATTCCTTCTGTGTCTCAGGTGAAAGGCAAAGACTTCACAGTAGCCCCCTGGCTCTAAGCTTTGGCCCCTTCCCCTTACTGGGCCCAATCCCGTCAGACTTTCACTTGTTGCCTCTGCTGAGCTACCCTGACCTCCTGGCTGCTCCCTGACCACACCAGTCATGCCTCTCCTTCAAGGCTTCTGCACTGGCTATTTCCCCTACTTGGGCTGCCTTTACCTAGATAGCTTGCTGGCTCTCTTCCTTTCTTCCTTCCCCCTTTCAAATCTCTGGTCAAACATCATCTTCTCAACAGACCTTGTTCCAGCCAAACTCAAACACACTACATTGAGTCTATTCAATTCTGACTCAGAGCATTGGACTTCCAAAGCTGTAAATCTATGGCAAGTGATGGCTCATCTTTCTCCTGAGGTACAGTTTGCAGATTCAAACCACTGAACTTTCAGTCAGCAGTACAACACATGATGCACTATGGCGCTGGGGTTCCTTTTATTCTAAGCACACTATTTAAATTTGACTTCAAAATTTTCCACCTTCACTACTCACACTCCAATTTTCCCAAGCTCCTTTTATTTCCCCTCCACTTAACTCCTTTGGAGAAACTGGATACATACATGTTCATATTTTCTATACTCATTATCTATTGTTCAGCAGCAATCTTTGTCTATTTGGTAAATTCGAAGCTGCTGGAAATAAGCCCTGGGGGAGTAGCAGGTTAACACTGGGCTGCTAACATCAGCAGCTCAGAAGTCAGAAAAAGGTCAGAAGTTTGGGCTCACAAGCCATTCTGAGAGAGAAAGTAAGGCGGTCTCCTCCTGCTAAGATGTTCAGCCTTAGAAACCCAATGGTTTCCAAAAGTCACCACGAATCTGAATCAACAGTGGGACAGTGGGTTTGATTCCTTTTCCTTCTGTTTTTGGAAGTGGCTAAAACAGCTGGCCCTGAGGAGATGTTCAACAGATATTTATTTCATCAATGACTTCACAATATCTTAGAGCTAGAAGGGGCCCTGGAAACTGTCCTGAGGTGGGGTAGCTGAGGGTTGGTAAGCTGAGACTATTCATATATGAGCCTGTGATAAGTTCAAGGGAAGAAATAGGATTTGGAGCTGAATCTGGTCCCAGGGCTCTGCACTGAGACACCTCCAAGGAGCTGATGCAGACAGATGAATCACAGACAGCCAACTAGCACAAGAACCAAACTAAATGTCAAGGGCATTCACTGCTTTATTTTAGATAAGACTTTGTATGATCCATCCATCCATCCATCCATCCATCCACCCATCCACCCATCCATCCATCCATCCATCCATCCATCCATCCATCCATCCACCCATCCATCCATCCTTATCCTCTGATACCTTGTAAAGAACAAGGGATAGAGTGATAACTTCAGACCGAAGGGTTACTCCTACACTCCAGCCTTAACCTCTCAGCCCAGATACTGCAGACACCAAGATTCTTTGAAAACTGGAAATACAAGGCTACTATGATACATTTTTTTCCTAAAGTTACATATCAAGGTTGTATTAAAAAGAAAATGAAGGTGTCATCATATAATTTTGAAATAAGTCCTAGAAGTTGATTAGTATGAAAAGAAAGGTTCTCCATTACACCATTAAAATATTTCTGACACTCTAGAATGGATAAAAAGAAAAGCAGACCATTTTGGTTAGGGATTCCTCTATCCATTTGTATTTGTGAGGAAATGTCTACTAAAGAGACACATTTTTAAATGCCCTAGAATTATGGCTTTTTGACTGTTAATTCAGAGTCAAAGAAAAATACAGTGAGGGAGCTTCTGCCTTATAAGCAGAGCTGCTCATAGTGACACAGCTAACAGGCCCAGAGCCACCCAGCGCAGCCTCAATAAGGAGCCTAGGAAACTCGGGCCAGAGCTCATGGGTGGGTTAAATTGCCAAAGCCTGTGATTAACAACAAAATTGTCTTTATCAAGATAACTCAAGTGGAGATTGTTCCAGAAATGCCAGATTTGGAAATAAATTCTTTCAGGCTGCACTATAGCATTATGAAGATTATATCCCAGAAACAAATTAATGCATATAGATGGTCTTCTGCATAGACCAGAAAATTAGGTCTCAGGAGAGAAGGGGAGCTAAGATCAAGGAGATAGGGGGACAGAGGACAACGAAGACGTAACTGGTGGCTTCTCAGACAGAGAGGCACCTGCTTGTCCCGTGAGCTCGCAGGGCGTTACCTGGGGTGGCAGGACACTCTTCTCTGTGTTCACTAACTCTCCCCTTCCAGCTCCAAAACCATTATTTCCACCGTCCGGGGGTCACTGTCACTACCACTGCCACGGCTGGCAGAGTACGCACACATTCTGGGTACTTTGTCCTGAACGGGTGATATGAGATTGTTACGATGACTCATGCATGGTAAGATGAGGCAGCAAATCCCGTGAGGATGTGAACCATTTCATAGTTGCCACTGAAACCCCTCCCTGTCCCCAGCCCCTCCCAGAAGAACGACTCTGGTTTGTCAACCTGTATGTTTTGCTCGACACTGGAGTCGCCTAGTAACCGGGCCACAGACTCATGAAGCCTCGGATGGCACGCTGACCCTGTGCCAGGCCCAGGACATCCCCACAGTTTCCAGCTCTTCATCCCCTCTCCCTCTTTACAGGGCCTTATTTCTCTCCAGCATCTATTATGATGTGTTGTTCCAAGACTAATGGCCTGTTTATTGAACTCATTAGTGGCTTTCAACTCTCAGACTCTCTGGGAGAAAAAAAAAATCAACCTTGGGAGCAAAAGAATAAATGTTTGCCGAATTTATAGCTCTGCTCCAGCCACCAAAGGGACAGTGGTAGCCTTTGGGAATGTAAGCGAGTGCTGACCCCCTGCAATCCTTTAATTTACTGCGGGCTCATGGGTCTCGGGACTCCTTGCTCATATGCACACAGAGCCAGACCCTGGACCATGACACCAGTGTGGTGATAATGGCCCTCTCTGGAATGTCTGAGGGGGCTCATGCTGTACCCATAGACTCTCCTTGTGTGCACACAGATCCTGGGACAAGACGGCAACTGGGGCTCTGTGGGATTCTCTCAACGTCTCCAGAGTCCGTCATGGTGACAGTTCAAGAACATGTGCTCTTAGGTTGTTGGGATTATAAAAACACATTTTGGGATGTAAACTCCCTCAGCCGAGGTTGTACTCTCCAACAGTCATAAATCCACTTTATTCCTTAACTTATTCACTCACCTGGGGAGCAGACCTTGAGTATTTGTTCTGCATTGAGCAAGGTACTGGCTTCAGGTGACACTAGGTTCAGTGCAGCACATGTGAGGACTAGGGGATTTTCTAACAAGGACATGCTAGGGAAGGGTCCCTAGGTCTGGTGACGGTGACTCCAGGTAGCCTTATGGCTCCAGGATGCCAGTAACACTGTCTGGGTGGAATGAGATGCACTCCTTCACTCTGTCAATGCTAAGGGACCCAAATGCTGTGCTGTCCTGGAAATAAACAGCCAACACCACCAGTGGTGATACTTACCTGCTGGGGGCTAGTGCCAGATGACCCAAGGGGGCCCTAGATCGATGTATACACTGGTGTCTGTGTATGCTGTGTGAGGAGTGCCCACCACAGCACAGTTAGGAGACAGGTTCCACCCTCATAAACATGGAGAAATTATCTTTTTTTCCTCCTGTCTTTCCGCGCCCCCCGCCCCTTGCTACTAGTATCAGCACTTGTCTCCGAAGAGTTTTCCCCCCTTTCATTTCTGGGTGTCTGCTGGGATCTTGCAAGTTTCTGGTTCGTGAACCAAGCATGGGGGCCCCCTGGAGGAGAGAACCTTGGTTCTTGGTTCTTGTAGACCAAGCCACAGCAGCACCAGCTGAACTCTTGTTAGTGGTCTCAGGACCTGACTCCAGACACAAGAAATGGAAATTACACAAAATATGCTCCCTTCCACAGTCCTTCAGGTGATGCCGATGCCCCCTCAATGTGGGAACCATGCTCTGGAGAAGCCTGACCTCTTACGTCTGTGTCTAACATAAGTCAGTTCTTGCTTTGCCTCACAGAGTCACGCTCTGTGGCAGCAGCCTTTCTGAGTGCCGGGTGTGGAGTCCAGGGGCCTCATCCCAGGCTCAGCCTCAATAACCTTCCTTGGGCCAGGACACAGTCCACCTTCCCTCTATAAGATGAGGCTCTGTGCACAGAGTACTTCCAACCCGACTCTTCCAGTTGAGGGCTTGCAGGAAGGCTCACACATCCCAGTTGTGGAGGTCCTCAGATAAGTGCTAGCATGTGTATTTCCTCATCACAGTTAGACAAGAACATTAGTAAAAATAGAGTCAGGGGCCCTGGTGTCAGAATGGGACAGTGGAAAGGAGCACAGTTGAAGGGATGAATGAAGATAGCCGGCTCTGGTAACTGCACCACATGTCTCCTGTCACCCTGCTGAGTGCCAGCCATCACCAAAACCCTAGAGATGATCAGCACCAGAGTCAGCCGAGAGAGGGCGAGAGAATGTCACGGGGGCACTGGAGGGGGACAGGTGAGCATGGTTGGGTTAATGTTTGCACCTCTCCTTGTCTAGTCTAATGTCAGGAGGCCTGTGTGTGGCTGGAGGAAGATCCTGTAGCCACACGAAGGACATTCAAGAAATTCAAGTTAATCCATCCTTAGATGTATTCTTATACTTACTTTTTTATTCACAGGAATACTGCAAAGTACAAGTTAAATGATGAGATTATTCAAACACGCATTGCTGTGGAGTTGAAACCAACTCCAGCAGGCTTTCAGTAACTGTAAATCACACAAGAGGGGACTGAGCATCTTTCTCCTGTGGAGCACCTGGTGGTTCTGAACCAAGCCACCAGAGCTCTCTAACGATGAGGTGGTGAAAAAAAAGAAAAATCACTAAATGTTGCTCTGTGGCTCAGGAGAGTAGATGCTGCTGTGCTCTGAATAACCAAAGGATTGTGTCTCTCCTGCACCAAGCTGGAGGAAGACCCAGGAAAGCTACTTTGGAATCCTCAGGGTAAAGGGGTCTCCAGAATTCAGGGTTACTTAATAATTCTGGCCAAAGAGTGAGCCTCAAATCTTGGTTTTATGCAATAAACAATAGAAACCTGAGTTGAAATCACCCTCCCACAGTGTCCGAAGGGTTCACAGTCTGCAGGCAGGCGCACTCTCCCAGGTCTGCCCCTTACCTGGGGGTCAGTAGCAGCATCACCCTCCCAGTCTGGCTCATGTGGAGTTGTGGTTTCAGCATAGTCACATGACGGGCACGTTTGAGGTCTGGGCTCAGTGTCGTTCTGTTTTTGGGAGGTGGGTTTTCCTATGTGAGGAAAGGCAAAGGTAGTCATGGACCAGCCATTAACAGTCTGATTTCAGAGCTTCAGGAGGGAGCTGGGGAAGACATTCAGGAGTAATAAAAAGGTATAATAAAAAAACGTGGCGAGAGCCAGGCTTCCTGCTCAGCTGTCACCAGTGAGCCTGGGTTCAGGGAAGCATTTGCATAATTACATGTATCTTCAGAACACAACCACTCCATTGAGTCTAAGGCAAACTGCACTCTGACCACTTCGCCACAAGAGGTTAATAGACTTTTCATGTTAAAAGGGGTTCAGTGGGCAAACCATCTGGGAAACACTGAGGTTACTCCTCAAGTGTTATTTATCAAAGAATAAACAGGCTTCCTTTTATGAAGAGCCTCTCATTGTGCCGAAGGGGCAGCTTCTAGTTTCTAAAGGAGGAACCGAATTTGAAATATTTCCCTAATAGACTTGAACAGAGAATGCTGATTTTCCTACAATGCCTAGTAACACCTTTCTCTTTTATTAATTGTGACTCGGGTAAAGTTTAAAAGCAACCTGGTTTTCTATGTAAGTGTTTATACAAACTTTGTTTTATGATATTAATGACAACACTCACATTTTAACAGCACTCTCCCCACCTCCTCACTGTAATTCTTACTTCCATTAATCCTTCTAGCCTATCCCTTCTTGTCTCCTGAGCTTTTACCCCTAGGCTAACGCTGCTTTTTGATCTTCTGGGGTCTATTCAAAACAGCAAGTTTTGGTGTTATTGTTCATATTATATAAGCTATTACTTGGCTGAAATTTAAACCACAGGGGTGAGTTTTATTTCAGGTTTAAAAGGTGAATAGTAAGATTATAATCTTGGTAGTTCTCTGAGTCTCTCTGGGAGCTGGGCCATTTTGTGGTTCTGCGTTTTCGATTAATACCTTTAGAACAGTTGTTTGAGGAAATTTTGTTCTGAAGCCTGAGATCTTTAAGGATATTCTAGGTTATTGTTTTTCAGCTGAGATGGGAATTTACATCCCACTAACCCACCACCATCTAATTACTTCCAGTTCATAGTGAAGCCCTGGCAGCCTAATGGTAAGGAACTGCACTGCTAATCCAAAGGCACCTGGTTTGAATCTACCAACTTCTCCATGGGAGAAAGATGGGAAATCTCTTCCCATGTGATCAGCTTCCACGGGTGGGTCACCTGAGTTGATCCCAATTCGATGATATTCAACAACAGTGACCCTAGAGGACTGAGCAGAACTCCCCCACAGGGTTGCTGAGCTATAAATCTTGATGGAACACACTGACTCATCTTGTTCCTGTATAGTGGCTGCTGGTGGGTTTAAACTGCTGGCTTTTCAGTGTGCATCTCAACACTCAATGCACTAACAGGCTCCTTGAACATGCATCAGCTGACCTTTTCTCAGTGTAAGTGTAAACTTGTCAACTTGGGTGACAGCTAATCCAAACGTTGGGATTCTGACTCTTGCCAAAGGATATTCAAAACACATACCTGGTGGTATATTTCTCAAGAAGCAGCCATGAAATATCTCATAGGGCACAGCTACATGCTGTCATATATATGGGGCTCTCATGAGTCAGAATCGACTCTACAACAGCAAGGGGAGCTGCTGTTAAGATGCGGACTCTGATTCACCTGGCCGCTTTGGAGGGCGAGAGTCTACATTACTGCAAAGCTCCCAGTTGATGCTGGCCAGTGGACCGCACTCTGAGCAGCTGGGTATAAAAAACCAGAAAGCCAAACCCACACTGTCAAATAATAGATTCTGACATGTGGCGACCCTACACTGGAGGGTCAGGATTCCAAGGCTATCAACCGTTATATCTTTATAAAAGGAAGACTGTCCATCTTTCTCCCAGAATGGCTAGTGGATTCAAACTGCTGACCTTTCAGATAGCAGCCTAGCATGCAATAAACTACACCACTGGAGTTCCTTTAGGACCTATAATAAGGCCTCATTTAGCAGAGCATGATTAAATACAATTTCTCCATTAGCCATAACACTAGATTGCTCTGTGAAGCAAATACGTCCATCACACCAGGAAGAAGAATTGCTGCCATTATCCTCCAGCCTCAACAATTATCAACAGGGCACACTGTGACAGCCTCTCAACAGCACTGTGCAATGAACAGGAGCTAAGTAAATTTCTTTATACCAGCACTTCTTTTCAGTCTCCTTTGTACAGGTGCTTCCAGTTTTGATACAAGGATAAAAGAACATATGTTGTTGTTTTGCCGTTGAGTCAGAACTGACACGCAGATGACCCTCCAATGGGTTTGCAGAGGCAGTAAATTGCACAGGAAGAGATTGTCCATCCTTCTCCGGTGGAGCATCTGGTGGATTTGAACTCATGTGCCTATGGGATTTGCAGTGCAGCTTCTGGCCTCTAGGACACCAGAGCTTCATATATGATGGAGAGTGAAGAGATTGAGATTGTTAAACAGCTTTAGTTTACTTGGCTCCACAATCAATACTCTTGGTACCAGCAGCCAGAAAAGTAAAAGACAAATTGCTTTGGGAAAGTCTGCTGCCAGAGACCTCTCCAGAGTACTGAAAATGAATGTCAATCTAGAGACAAATATGCATCTGATCCAGGCCATGGTCTTCACAATTACTTGCTGTGTATCAGAAAACTGGACAATGACTAGGAATGATAGAAAGAGAATTGATGTCTTTGAACTGTAGTGCTGGAGAAGAGTATTGAATGGACTGCTAAGAGAACTAACAGATTCATCCTAGAAAGGGTAAAACCAGGCTGTTCCTTGGAGGCAAGGATTCTGAAGTTTCGTCCACCATATTTTGGACATGTTGCAAGGAGGGACCAGTACTTGAAGAGGGACGTCATGCTTGGGAAGGTGGAGGGACAGTGCAAGAGAGGAAGACCCTTGATGAGACAGATTGATTCAGTAACTGGGGTAATAGGGGTCGGTGTGTCAGAGACAATAATATTGTCACAGAACAGAGCAGGGTTTAGGGCTGTTTTACACAGGGATGCTATGAGTTGCTGGTGACTTGATGGCACATAACAACACCACCAACAACATAGGGGTGTTTGTGCATAATATATATGTATGAAAATTATATATAAATAAAATATATATGCTGATATGTGAAGTGGTTGGATTCTGGAAGGTGGGATGTTTTATGGTGGTAGAGGGTCCGGTGTGGACTGTTTGGTTGCTTTTTGTTTTATTCACTCTTGTGTGTGAGCTGATTGGATTTGCTGGATTTAGCTAACAATGAGCTGTGGGTGGGAAGTCCCTTATTTAGAGTCAACAGGTCTTGGTGGACGGCCTTGGTATTTAAATGTTAGTTGGACCCTCAGGCTGGTGCTAATTGTGTTTGGGACTGACATTGTTCTAAATTGTACAGCATTGGTCTAATCAATTTGCTGTACTGAAGTAACTTGCAGTTGCTGTGATGCTGAACACTGTGCCATTGGATTGGTGTGTCAGATGCATAATGTTTACCCATCATGGACAGTGTTTGGTGGAACTCTCAGATTAAGACAGGCTTGGAAACAGTAGTGGCATCGACTTCCTAAACAACATGCCTCTGGAAACTCTATGAACATAGAGAAATGACAATAGTTATAGAACAGGGTTCAGGTCTTTTGTTCACAGGGTCTCTATGAATTGTGCTCAACTTGATGACAACAATAATAATAATAACTATATATGTATATATATATATAATAACAATATATATATAATAACAATATATATATATAATGTAGTTGATGATTGCCTTCAAGTTGAGCATGACTCATAGCGACCCTATGAACAAAAGGCCTGAAGCCTTTCTATAACTATGGACTTTTTCAAAGTTCTTAGGTTTACCAGAGGCATGTTGTTTAAGAAGTGGATGCCACACCTGATTCCAAATATAAATATTTGCTCATGTGAAACCTATACTTGGACCAGGAAGCAGCAGTCAAAACAGAGCAGAAGAACACAGCATGGTTCAGGATCAGAAAAGGTGTGCAGCAGGCAGCATCCTATCTCCATACCTTTTCAATCTATATGCGGAACAGATCATTCAGGAGGCTGGACTTTATGAGGAGAAAGACTCATCAATGGCTTGCGTTATGCATATGACACAACCTTGTTTGCTGAAACTGAGGAGGACATGTTCCCATGTGATTTACTGCCACTGAAAGTTCTCTAGAGCTATGGATGAGTTTTGATTTGATGGCACAAGAAAACAACCTTCTTTCTGCTTATCCATCCTATTTCTATAAAGACTCATGAGAGGTCATAGAACACAAGGATGTCTTGGAAAGAGATGAAAGTCCTCCCACAGTCATAGTAACCCCTGGTGTCATGGAAGCTCCATGGGGGTGACACAAAAACGCCCCACTGTCAGTTGACCATTCTCTCCGCCATATACCACTTTTATATAACTCTTTACAACAAATAAATTAACACGCAAAACTTGCAAAACCAGGCAGGGAACATTAGCAGCAAGTTCAGAACAATCTCCTTCCTATCCTCTTCTTATGAAGCAATTCAAGGCTTGTGGTTTCTATTCAATTTGTTATAATGACAGTGTTTAATCATGGCATCTGCTCAGCAGCCTGCTGCTGAATTGAGGTCACACATGTGACTATTCAGGCATGCAGCACATAATCTATAACTAAGACTTCACCCCCGAATCTCTGGAAGCAGTATCATTAATTAACAATGCATTTTCTTTAAAAAAAATAACAAGCAATGCAGCCTTTTTAAAATGCTGCCTTGACTTGGAATGAGGAGAGTCAGCACTGAGTGGTTGGCGGCACTTGGTGTTACTGAAGGAAGAAGTCAGCCGTGGGAACAGTGATGCCATTTGTTCAAAGATGTTTAATGAAGAGTCTTCTGTCTCAGACACTTGTACTTAAGGTTCTTCCCAATCATCAAATCAAAATGGAAAGCTTACAATTGAGAGTTCTTTTTCATATGCTCAGATGTGTTGTAAATGCAACAGACATCATGTAAGTTAAAAATTACATTCTGAGCAGTAAATACTTTTAATTTTTAGAGAACAACGAAAAATCCTTGACCCTTCCTCTGACTCGATTCTCAATCGTGAAAGCTGGCTTTAATTGACCAACACACAGAACAGTCCTCTCCAGCCAAGGGCCTGATCCATCTTAATATAATGTCTGTTCAATCTACTGCTGACACATCAGACCAAGTAGTTTACAGTGCAACATACAAATACATTTGAACTGAAGAGAAATAGGTCATAAGGTATACAGGTTTCTGGATACAGTGCAAATAACATTTAAGCTTAAATTTATGTCTGGAGCCTAAACTGGTATACATTCAAGGTTGTTTCAATAAGTAAAATCCCATGAATGTACGTTTGTGTTGTTTACACATTAGTTGTTTTTTATGTGTGTCTATGCCTTAATGGAACCCTGAAGATGATGTTTAATACATGTCAATTTGCTTTTTTTTGGCTGAGGACACAGAGGGACTTTTCACTCATCAGCATTTCTATCCATCAGAGGCCACTGGCTCAACCCACCCTTCTACTGAGCAACCTGCTTTCCATTTTTATCAGCAAGAGCATGAGTAGGGGTGGGAGGGCAATCTAATTTGTAAGTTAATTGCTGTTTTACCTGAGGAGGCGAGTTTGGGCAGGCGGCTTTGAGGGGGTCGCACCCCTCTGGTGGTCATGCTGGGGTCTGAGGCAGGATGGACCATGGTCCTGTCTGCAGGGACCTGGCTGTCTGAGGAGGAAGGCACTTGACTGTCAAGGGTGTGAGCTCTGGTGGACGAAGCTGTAGGAAGTGCTGGCTGGAGAGAGGAGGCTGGCTCTGTGTCCCCTGGGGAGTCTGGTTTGCATAGGTACCGTCCTGTGGAGCGATTTCCTGAGTCTGGCAGTGGGAATGTTCCAATGCCACTGTCGAGTGTTCTCATCTGGCAGTTCGATTCTGAAACAGTGCAGCAAAGCGATGATCAGAAAGTGCGCACATGCAAAGACACTTGGATGTAACCTCTCGAGCAAGAGGACATCTTAAAGAAAAAATTTAAGAGAAATAAAAATGAGAAACATTGGGAAATAGGACTAACAAGTGAAACCTATGATGCAGATATTTAATTAGAAATTAAAATATTCCCTATGAAGTAAAAAGGCCAGCCCGCTCATGCAGCAATGGTGCCTGGCACATATGCCTAAAATGTTCTCCAGTGTCAAAGGGAGATTTATTAGAGACCAGACATATTTGTTCACCCTTATTTAAATCTGTGAACAAAAGGACTTCATTTAATTAGGTGAAGTTTGTGAACTAAACTGAATAAGGAACACAAATAAGATTATTGAAGGGGTATCCTAATAAAGGCGATTATTTATTCCTTGCATAAATTTTAACCTAATCAGTAGTTGCCTAAATATCTAGCTCTCGACTTGTCTTCCAAGATAAGAAATTCACATTTTCTAGCCTCATCCCAGAGGGTCCCTCACTCATTGTAATGTTACTTATCTATCATTTGTTCTTCATTTGACCCAACCTCTGTTTGAGATCTTCATGAGAAGGCTTCAGAGCCTCCTTATATTGTTCACATTTTCTTTATGAAATGACAACTCATTAGTGCTCTTTGAATATTTTGTCACTCACAGAGATCCTGCTATTTCCTAAACAAAGACAATGCGCTCTGGTGGTGTAGTGCACAGTGTTCGGCACTGCAAGCCATCAGGTCTGGGCTTCACATCCATTAGCCACTCCTAGGGAGAAAGACGGTTGGCTTCTTTTCTTTAATACCACTTTGTAAACCTGACAGAAGGTTGCTATGAGTTGGAATAGACCTGAAGGCAGGGGGTTTCATCATGTGTGGCCTATTCTACTGAGACAAATTTTACACAGAGAGAAGTATACTATAGCTGAAGAAGCTATGAGATAGCGTCAAATATCTTACTGCCTGAAACACAGTATTATCATATTACTCCTATGATAATCTTGGGATGAAAAAGCCTTGGTGGTGGTGTTACATCCCATTGAGACAGAATTAATAGCTGACTTTCTGGTGTGTTTTCAGAGTCTGTGAGTCAGCTGGGAGGAGGACACGCATCTTTCTCTCTTGGAGCAGCTGGTAGATTCTGACCATTTAAATCCCTAGCCACTAGGCCACCAGTCGTTGTTGTGTACCTTTGAGTCAGAACCAAACCACAGCTGACCCTTAAGTGCATTTTCAGAGGCAGTTAATCGCATGGGAAGAGATTGCCCATCCTTCTCCTGTACAGCAGCTAGTGGATTCAAACCATATGCCTTTGAGTTTGCAGCACAGTTTGTTCACCACTATGCCACCAGAGCTCCCCAAAATAGCCTTAGGAAAGTTAATGTAAGTCTAGGACTGTAACAGATACAACTCAGCACTGTGCTAGGTAAGGTGGAGAATGTCATAGAAGGTATTTTTATGTCAAGAAGTTCAGCAACTCACATTTCTTAGAAGCATTAGAGAGCGATGTTTTGGAGTGTGTTCTTTACCCATACATAACTAACTGAGTCACTCTGAAACACATCCTCAACCTCTTGGAGGTTCAAATTCCTTACTGGATTGCTCTAAAGACTAAAATATGCTCATCATCAAAGTCCTAGACCTTTAAATGATGCCTACCACACTGTGACCTGCCAGAAAGAATGAGTGGTGATATATTGCAAGGCAATATACTTCAATATATTTCTTGAGAGCTCTGGTGGCCTGGTGGTAAGGAGCTGTGCTGCAATCCCAAAAGTACACTGTTTGAATCCACCAGTTGCTCTGTGGGAGAAGGCTGAGCAATCTCCTATCATGTGATTTACTGCCTCTGAAAACCTGCTGGAGGGTCAGCCCTGGGTTGGTTCTGACAGGATCCCATTCAACAGCAACATTAGGTATTAATAAACATCTTTGTTGTTGTGTACTATTGAGTCAGAACTGACCCACAACAGACCCTCCAGTGGGTTTTCTGAGGCAGTTAATCACATGGGAGGAGATTGTCCATCAATAAATGTCTTAGAGGTAAATAAATACCTTATAGTTATATATGTTCCATATATAATCTCATTTGATCCTGAAAAATGAATACTTAAACTTCACTCCTATACTTTCCTCCAAAAATAAGTTTGTTCTAAGTAAGGCATGGAATTCTGGCAATTTTCTACCTTAAAAACAAGGGAGTATTGATAAAGACAGTTTTTCTAGGTTCTCATAGGTTTCATGTTTGACTTTTCAAGAAGTAGGAGGAGGAAGTCCTGATTTAAAAAGAAGCCTCAGTCTTGAAAGGATGTTTTGTCAGAAGAAGCAGGCTCCCTTCCTAGAGTATAAAGTTCACTTAACACTTCACGTGCCATCGGATACCAGGGGTGTGTTAGGGAGGGTGGTCTAAATGCTGCTTTCTTTTCTCAGGATCACAAGGAGTTAAGTTTCAGCCCTTATTCACTGTCCAGGACCACCACTTTGTCAACAAAAGTCTCAAACAGCCATACAGATTATTCATAATCTTCTCTGCTCTTTTTGTAGAAAGAGTGACCTTTTAATTTTTTTTTTTTTACAGAGGTTTTGGATTTCCATTCATTCATTGCCGCAATTTTCTCCCTTCCCACCCCTCCCCACCAGCTCGCTTCCCCCTCTGAAGAGAGGAAAAAAAAAAAGAAAAAAAATTCCTTCATTAGTATACAATTCCCACATCCCTTCCCCCCACCCCCCACCCCGAGTACACTTCTCTATGCAACCTTAATTCTGGATTCCTGTGCTAACCATAATACTCAATCATATACCTTTTTGAGAAATAAAAAGTTGTTTGCATGGAGAAGCTCTGCCGGAAGTGTGCAAAAAAAAAAAAAAAGACTTGGATTTGGATCCATGTACCTTTCTTCATTCTATCTTAGATACACAATACATTTTATATCTGCCATGGTCATGTCCTACACTTGGCCAATTTAGCATTCTCTGAAGTATTCAGGTCCACAGAAGAGTATACACCTTTACAGAACTGAGCCAATCTTCGGGGATGGGACATAATGATAACGGGAGACTGTGATGGGTGACACCCTGTGTGCCCAGGGCTGCTGTCATTAACAGCTCCCTCCCAGCTCCTTTCTCCTCAGCATGGTAACTTCAGGAGCCTCACCCTCTTTAATAAAGATGATTCCTCACAATTTTAGATGCTTATTATAGCTACTGGACAATGAATAAGGAAGACTGAAGAAGAATCGATAGCTTTGAATTGTGGCTACAGAAGAGAGTTCTGAACTTCTCATGGACTGGCAGAAGAACAAATAGTCCGACTGGGAGGAAGTGAAACCAGGCTGCTCCTTAGAGGCAAGGATTTTGAAAGCTGGTCTCGCATACTTTGGGCATGTTCTTAGGAGAGACTAGTCCTTGGAAAAGGACATCATTCTGTGATAGGTCAATGAGAGAGAGAAAGACCTGGAGCAAGATGCACTGACTCAGTGAGTACAACGAGTTTGAGTGGGGCGGGGATTGTAATGATGGCACATATGGTAGCTGTGAGTTACAGTGGACCCAACAGCACCTAACACCAGCATAAGAGCTAACACAGGTCCCCAGGTGATGCAAATGGCTTTCCCTTTAAGTTGGTAGTTCAAACCTACCCAGTCTACCCTACCAAGTAGTCGTGTAGAACACAACCTCTATGGTCTGTGTCCAGAGAAGAACACAGCCGTGAAAACTTACTGGAGGAATTCATGAGTCACAACTGACTCGATGGAGACGTATTTATCACAGCTACTGTGACAGTGAGATGCCAATCGTGGTAATGGGTACCCATGGTGGACAGTGGTGGCTGGAGCTTCTCGACTAGAACAAGCCTGGAAGCAGGAGTGGCTTCCACTTCCGAAATGGTTTGCCTCCGGAAACTCTATGTATGAACAGTGCTAAGGCCTTTTGTTCATAGGGTTGCAATGAGTCATCTGTGACTCGACGGCACCTAATAACAACAATAACAACAGGAGTGCCTGAGAGGTGCAAATGATCAGCATGCTTCACAAAAATCATATAGGGTACTTCACAAATAAAGTATCACATCAAGTTCAGAGAGGCTGATTTATCTTGCCATATGCCAGAATATAAAGAGAGCAGATTTGAGTCCAGGCTTGTTTAACCACAGGATCACCCTCTTAGGCTTGTAAGTCACTGATTTCTCCCAAAATGTTCAGCCATATTTCAGACGTAGGATCAGCCCAGGCAAGAGTGAGTGAGTGATGGAGGCAAACTCGTGAGAGGGTTCACAGCACAGCACCCTGCTTCAAGGCCGGGCTCCAGCTCTGCTCCGGAACAGGCACCAGGGCCTCACTTCTATCTTGGTTCCTGCCTCCTGTCCACACATTGTGTGGCTGGAAGACTATCCAGGTCCTTGGCAGTTCCACCCAGTCACAGATCCACAATGGCCTTGTAATTCTTCCCTTCATGCTCTTGGATTGCCTCCATAGACTTCCATGTCACTGTTGTTCTTGAGTTCATGCCACCTCCCTGGGCTTGGTAATGGGCACTGCTCCCCAGGACGATTCCCTGGTTTTGTCTAAAGTCTTTCTCTTCCACTTATTTTATTGTTCAAACCTCAGAGGGCTTGGAATCCAGTCCCTGCAAATGGAGACTCCAAAAGCTAAGTGAGCTTGTTAGCTTTTTATTCAAGGCCCACCCAGAGAGAGACTCCAGACCCCAAAGCCTGACCATACGGGCATGACCTGCAGTCCAAGGCCATGAGGCATGTGCAGGAATCAGGGTGGAGGACCATCTGGGACAGAAAACATGGTGAAAACAGCTGTGCTATATCTGGAGCCTTACTGAGGACACTAGTAATTCCTGGCTTCCATCCACCCAGCTTATTTTCCCTTTACATCAACATACTATATTATCGTACTGGTTGTAAAATAGGACTTTCATTATTTGGGACTTCTCTGGTTGAAATCTGCATGCATTGACATTAAACTTA